ACCACACCTGGCTAATTTTTCTATTTTAGTAGAGACAGATTTTTGCTATGTTGGCCAGACTGATCTCAAACTCCTGACTTCAGGTGATCCACCTGCCTTGGCCTCCCAAAGTTCTGGGATTACAGGCAAGAGCCACTGTGCCCAGCCTTAAGTTTGTTATTGTTGTACCTGATGTGGCTACAATTTTAGAATGAACACTGTAATATTTGCTTCTTTTTGTATGTCTATTGTGTCTACATGTGTTTGCATGTGTGACATTTTGCTGCCTTTGGATGGTATTGCAAAATTAATTAGTAATAGAGCTCTATTCATTTGGCCTATAGAAGAATATGTGCTTATATGAATTAAGGATTCCTTAAACTCAGAAAGATAGAAAGTCACCAATATATTTTTCAGGTTCACAGGATCTGTGATAATCTCTGTTCAATCAAAGCTACTTTATGTTTGTTGGTTTTGCTAGAATAGACATGGCTTTAGAGTTTTCAGAATTAAATATAATACAAACACACAACTTTAGCTGAGTTTCCTAGTCAAATAAGTTTTTATTATCTCTACCTGATGTTTAAAGTCATAAAACTAAGAGTTCAACTTAGCAACCTGTGTGAAAATATAATAGCATTTACTTCATATGTTTCAGGCACAGCAATAAAACAAACAAAAAAAACCCCTATATATTTGACTTTTAGATTTTTGTATTTATGATGACTTACTGACATAAATGTATTTTAAATATAGTTAACAAAAGAGTAATTTGAGAGGATGCCTGGTTATGTCTTATGTCTTATGAAATTTTCGTGAGTAACCCAAACAATTCAGAATAAGTGAATTAAATAGATGTAAGTACAATATACATTTCTAAATGAACTTTTAAACCATAATTATGTTTAATGATAAGTCTGCTTAAAAATATCTTTCCACTTCTCTGTGGTAAATGATATTCTTAGAAAGTCACACCGTTGAATTAATATTATCAATACTCATCGAATATCTGGATAATTTCCAAATAAATTTTTAAAAAAATATTGATTGCTGAATATATGCTTATCCATTTTGGACTTCTTCTTATAGAAGAAATAAAAAATGTGGGTTCATTACCAAGCATGTCCTGTGCCACATTGAAAAACTATACAACAGGAAACACATGCTTCTAGAAATTATGAAATTGTATATTCATAGATTTGCCAATCTGTAAAATACTGGTGTGATGCATATTTGTCAATTGCCTCTATTCCAGAAAAGAAAGTTACTAAGAGTTTAGAATTCGAGTTAATGTGTAGTCATTAATACTACTAAATAACATAAAGGAAACATCCCTGTATGCAAAGTATCTATCTAATCTCAACAGATTTACGGGAAAGGCTCTGACAAGTAAAGATTTCTGATAACATTAGAAACACAACACGAGACCAGAATTAAAGAAACTTTGCAAACAATTTGGCTAAGTATACCTTTTGTAAACAGAATTAATACATTTATCTTCTTCACCGTAGCTGATATCTCCAGAATTCAGAAACCATCATTGAGTATTGTTATTTTGATTGCAATATAGGTATTTGCAAAATTTTAATCAGAATCTGTTCTCATAATATAACATAATTATGGTAATATTACTACTACTGTCACTGGAATGTCATATTGGAGAATGTGCAAAAATTAGATACGACTGGAGAGATTTAAGAAACTAAGAATTGACTTTATGGAGCCAATTATGCCCTGCTTTTTTCCATTTAGCATTGTAATAAATTCTTGAGGCTGGGTAATTTATAAATGAAAGGTGTTTGTTTGGAGAACAATTCTGCAGGCTATACAGAAAGCATGGCTTAAATGTCCACTTCTGATGAAGGCTTCAGCCTACTTCATTCATGACCACAGGTGAAGTGGAGCTGGCGTGTGTAGTGATCACGTGGTGACAGAGGAAAGGAGAGAGAGTGCAGTGCTGGGCTCTTATCAACCAGCCCTCATGGGAACTAATACAGTAAGAACGTACTTATTACTACGAGGATGGTTCCAAGGCATTCATGACAGATCGACACCCATGATCTAAACACCTCCCATCTTCAACCTCCAATATTTGTAATCAGATTTCAACTTGAAATTTGCAGGTGTTTATCAAACAAAACTAGAGCCATCTCCTTCAGAAAATCTGGCCTGATAGCTGCTCACAAGCTTTCTAACAATACTGGTAAAGAGTAAGAAAGACCTTACTATCTGGAAGGCCCAGGAAACTGAAAGATATTTTTAGAACCTTTTTGAGTACAGGGGAGTTTACCTAAATCTATCAGAATTGCAGGTGAAACTTATGGTAGGTTGTTGGTATGACTTTATAGCTTGAACAGCCTTTAAAGTCTAATCTGAGATTATTTAGTAAAGGCCGTAGCAAGGCCTTCTTAAAAAGAGACTATCAATTCCTATTCCTACTTGCACTTATGTAAATACTCAGTTGAAGCTTAATGAGGATAGACTTATTTGGTAAACAAATTAGTCTTACTCTAATTATATATGAAAGAAATGGGGGTGATTATAGAGGGGAAATTATGTTTCAGTAGAAAAATATAGTGCACCCATAATTAAATTCCAGTTCTGTCCATTGTCTTTGATGTTTTATTATCTACTTAGAAATTGTCCTATTCCTGAAGGGCTACAAGCGAGGGCTGGACAACTTGATATAAATGTCAGAGGATAATCTTCATGCATGATGCTTACTGGGCCACTCAGGAGCTTCACAAAACATTCACTGACATGACAAGAGACATTCAAACTGCTAAACAGAAAAATTATCAGACTGCCACTGCCATTTTATTTCATCATCTAAAGATGGTTTGAGCTTAAATCTAAAAATCTTCTCAACTAACTGCCCTCTGGGCTCACATGCTAAGCTTATCAGTGGTTTTAACCATTAACTTCTGTTTTCCTTCGTTTTATTTCAGTTGGTTTTGTTCAAGCATACTTTGGCTGTGTAGTATACCCCAGTCCCTTGGCATTATGTTTGTGATAGTCATTGTCATCTTCCTGGTGTGCTGTATTCGCTCAAGAGTTTTAAATACATGTTTGTAGCCACCACACTGTGCCAGATTTTCTCTCTATGATTAGAATAATAAAAACAAAATGTCCAATAAAAGAAACGTTTTCATAAGGGACCAAGCCTTGCAAATTATGAACTCTATGCTGAGACAAAGACAAACCAGCTGTGCTGGTCACAGAAAGTGGCAAGTGTACCTGAGTTTTGGTCAATGTCCCATAATGGAGAGGCTGGCCAGAAGGGAGAAAATAGTGAAAATAATTAAATTAAATTTTATTAGGCTGACATGGGTGCAGCAAAGTGGGTTTTGTACCTAAGCAAACAGAAATTCAACTCATTGTAAATGATAAAACAAAAGTTAACTGTAACTAACCAAAACTCCCTAGCTAATTTCTAACTAGGTATTTGCCACTGGAATGATCAAAATAACACTACTGCTCCACTTTAGCCAATACAACCTTTACTTTTGCTGTACTTCCACGTTTGCCCTTTAAAAGCCTTTACCTCCTCTCTTGTCCCTTCAGGAAAGCCCCATACCACATGCAAACTGGTGTTGCAAAATAAATCAAGTCTCCTTAAATAAACTCTAAATTCTAATGCTGCTGCATTTGTATTTTAACTATACATGTAAGGTTTATTAACCATACATATGCATTAACTATATATGCAAAAATAATCATATGCATATGTATGCATACTGATAACTAAAACATACATATAATCTGATAGCAATGACAATCTAACAAAAGGAATTGAAGAGGGATATAATTAGTTAGAGTTCCGTTTGCAAAAAGCAATCTGACAGCAATGTTGGGGAAGTGAGTGACTGTTAGAAGGATGGAGGAAATAAGTAACTAGAGGTTTGCAAAACAACATGTGAGTAGTTTTTAGGCTATGGACCTCAGTGGTATCAGCGACAATGCGAAAGAAATTTCAGTGTTGAAAATGAAGGGCAGGGTGGACTGGTAGAAAGATGATTAACATACTTGAAGTACATGAAGTGTTAAGAAGGTTAACAATCAAGGAATTTCTGAGGCAGAAAATAACCAAACTCTTACCTTGTTTTTATGTTTTTGCTTCCTCTTTCTGGGCTCCATGATGTCATATCATGTTAACATTATTTGAAGTTCCATGGTAGGCATTTAAAGCCCTTGATTGATATAACACATTCCAACAACCTTGCAATATTATTGATTTTTACCAACCCTGGTAGGTTCATTTGTTCCTAAAAATATTATGACCATTTTCTTGCTATCACAATACTTACTTCTTTTCTATGACTACTCTAAAGGTAGTTATTCTATTTAATCTTTTAATTTCCTGAACTAGGGAAGCCTTCCAGATTGTCTAAAATCATATAAACATAGCTGGGAAGGGCCTTAGAAGCCGTCCCAGGAAGTTAGAGGCAGCTTGTCTCTTCCTACTCATGCAAGCACATGGAGTTTAGAACATACTCTTACACTTTGGCAGTGCCTTCACTGTTATCTCCTTCTATTTTTATTTTTCTCATTGCATTTCCATTTCTGTTTATTTTGTTACTTGCTGTGAGTTGACTCCCTACCAGAATAGAAGTCACCCTTTCCTAATATAGTGAAATGGAAGACCTCTGATGGTAAGCAGAATCACTGGGATTTACCTCTGTTCACTCAAAAATGAATCTGCCTCCACTATGAGTTAAATGTGATGGGCATCTCAGGTAATACAGTGGTATTAGTATTGAAACCACCATACTCAGGTACTTATATGATGAACTAGGCTATTTTATTTGCTTCCTGTGATCATTATTCTATTATATGAACATGATAAAAAATTCTAGAATGGTTTTGAATAACATATAGACATATTGTGATTAGTTTATTAGGTACTAAAACATTAGCTCATTAAAGTGCTAGAACAGTTATACTTGCAAAAATGTTTGAACAACATAGGTACCTCTAACTTGCACAATTTTGTGACTATTTTCATAATTAGAGAAAGGATATTAGTATGAAACCTTAACATTTCTTTGTAACATTTTTGCGAACGAATCTGTGACTTGCTTATTTCTCAGACTGTAGATGATAGGATTTAACAAAGGAATGATGACCGTGTAGAACAGAGGCTCCACCATATCTTGATCATCTGCTTGTGGAGATGCAGGGCCCACATACATGAAGAGAAGGGGGCCATAGTATAAAGAGACAGAGGAGAGATGGGCTCCACAGGTGGAAAAGGCTTTCCTTACACCTTTATCAGATTTGCTTTTTAAAACGGTGAAGAGAACAAATGTATGATACAAGAATAGTCACAATGCTGAATACCTGAATTGAACCTGAAAAAATAAAAACCATTAGAAAATTAATAGAAGAATCAGTACAGGAAATCTTAAACAATGGGATAATGTCACAGTAAATGTGATATACTATGTTGGAGTTACAGAAGGTTAATCTGAATAAAAATCCTTCATGGATTAAAGCATGCAGAAGGCCACCTACATATGACAAGATTAATAGCCGGACGCACAGTCCATTGGTCATAATCACTGGATAAAGTAAAGGTTTGCATATGGCTACATAGCGATCATATGCCATTGTTGCCAAGAGAAAACATTCTGTGGTTATACTGATTGCAAAGAAAAAAAATTGTATCTTGCATTCGGAGAGAGATATCATCTTGCTCTTAGCTAAGATGTTGATCAGCATCTTTGGGGTCACTGTGGATGATATCCAAGCATCCACGAAAGCTAAATTCCCGAGGAGTAAGTACATTGGGATATGAAGGTGAGGGACTTTCCAGATGACAGCAATCAGACCAAGATTCCCCATGATGGTGATGAGATATATGACCAAGAATGCCAGGAACAGGGGTATTTTCCACTTTGGTTGATATAAAAATCCTATGAGAACAAACTCTGTCAGCAACGTTGCATTTTTCTCTTCCATGTCTTCACTTCATGTCCTCTAAAATAAAATGCAACAAATGAAAGGGAACATTTGCAATGGCATTATGAGTTGAAGTGGAGGAAGAGATGTTGAAATAAACCATAAAATGATCAAACCCTCTCAGTTCTTTTAATCAGTCCTATAACTGATGAAACTGTATTTGTTGCAATGAAATACATGGAAAAAAATGATATATTTTGGTTTGAAACTGTGCAGTAATTAACAGATCAAAGTAAGAGGAGAGGCATTCTCTGTATGCACTACACTTATATGGACACTCTTGAGTGCAGTAGAAAGATTGTGGGTCTGGCATATGATCCAATGTCAACAGGAAAGATTTTTGAAGGGTCTGAATTAAAAATAAATGAAATAATTGCCATGTGAAGAATCTTAACCTTTATTCTTCATACAATAAGCATGTGCCAAAATTTTTAAGATGGGACATTACATCCTAATATATTTTTTAAATTTAGTTTTTGATAGTGTAGAAAGTATGCTGCAAGAAGAGGCAACTGGACTCAGGGATACAAATTAGAAAGTTGTAAGTTCCAGGCAATCCCTAATCAGATTACCCATAAATATTATCTGAGATAGTTTTTTTGAAAAATATAGGTTGTGAGCTTTTAATGTAGAAATTATTTCAGGAATGAGGTCTTGTGGTCTTTATTTGAAAATACCCTCCAGGTGATTCGAATGCATGTTAAGTGTCTAGTCTTTATGTGATATGACATTGAAAGAGATGGTAAGACAAAGAGATATATTCTAAAGAATTCAGAATGTTGAATCTCTAGTATTCTGTGACATATTTTGTGGAAAATAAGTGATCAGTGAAGGAGAGAGGAGTTACCTGGTGACTGAGAAGATGGACATTAAACATTGAGAACTCAGGTATGCTGACAAGTTTTTGGTGTGAGCATCATCTGAACAACTAGGTGTGTTCCGATCAGTAATATGAGCCTATTTTAGCTCAATAGAAATGATTACTTGGATTCATCGTGGTAGTCAAAGGCATAATTAAAAATCATGTGTCCATAGGAGCTTAAAAAGGAAACAAAAAGGATGGCAAGAAAATCAAGTCAAGCCAGTTATATTAAAGAGGTAACAAAGTAGACATAAGTCCTGTAAATGGTCAAGGTGTGGACCTTATTTTTTGCCATCCAAGACATAGAGGCTGTCAGAGGTTATCTACTGCTCTAGAAGTCAAAAGAAATAGAAACTCATTTTCCCATTCCTCTTACATCTAGAGTGAAGGGAAATGATCTAGGATGGCCAATTAAATACATTGATCCTACATTTGGAATATGGAGAGAGAGAGAAGTACAGGGACAAAAGATAATGGTTTCAAAAGTAGCCAAAGCAGAAATACTAGGACTCTACTTAATGCAACCTTTACACACATCAATAACATTTATAGTGTGAGATGTCAAATTATTGTCAAACATGAGTGTGAGAATACAGGAGATAATATGTAAGTGACTCACCTTAAAAAGTTTTAATTGGAGAATTATGGTTAATTAAAAGGAATGAGTATTTATATCGGAATAATTCCAAGAAATAATTCTAAGAATCATTATAATCTGAACCTTTAAACCTAATTTTAATTGCTTAATGCCATAGTTCATATTAATTCATTATAATAAGATCAAGAAAATAGTAAAATATTAAAGGAACAATTCAGTCTTACAACTCTTTATCAATATTATACTCATAAACTGAAATATAAAAATAGTCCAGTCAGAGTCATCCAATTTAGTAATTGTTATTATGGCAGCTTGTTACCCAATCTAAAATTTTAATGAATTAAATGGCATTATCAACATTTCTATAAATGATAATGAAAATTAGAGGAATTATTTCTTCCTTACCCTTATTTTGAAGGCAATTGTGGATATTCTTTAAACGTGTTGTGCTTTCTAAAAAGAAATATATACAGTAGCACAGCAGTGTCAATAATACAGGCAGCAATTCATTGCATACTCATTCTTTTTGAAGGTTTATTTTTCCAAGCATAGAAAAATTTTATTTATTAAATTTGGTTTGAGCACATAAGTGGTCCGGTTGTGCAACTGGGGACTTTTGCCCGAGGAAGGAGAGGAAAACTGAAATTCTCATAAGAGTGTCAGAGGACTCCCTGTAGGACAAATTGAAGCTGTTCTAATGGGCATTGTGCATTTGCACGTGTATAAGTCCAGGTTGTCCCCAAGGGCATTACAAACTTCTGGAATTACAAACATTATTTCATTGTAGACACTTCTAGTTTTAACAATTGAAATAACACTTCATGTTACTATTTACCACCATGGATGACACTTTTTGCATATTTGTTCGAACTTTATATGTGAAATTTACTGTTAGTGCTTTAATTAGTATAGTCTTATTTGAGTAAATCAAAACATAATTTTAATAAGGCCAAAGTTATAGATCCTCTTTGGGAGCTACTTCAAATACAATTGTCCTTCCCATGCAAATTTAAACTCAAAGTTTAGACATACATGTAGTTCTCCCATTTTAGACTTAAGCCTGATGGGAAATTTTACTAGGAAGAGGACAAAGGAGGAGAAAATGTAAAACAAACCCAGGGACTATATTGGGAGGTGTCCTAGATCTGTACTCTCAAACTCTAATGCCTATGACTTTCCTAGTGATGTCAAAATGCAGATTCTTTTTCAGCAGTTCTGGTGTGGGTTTCTAAAGAGCCTTTATTTTTAACAAAGTGATGCCTGTGGACTTTTGCCATTCAACACGTCTTCATCCTGGGAAGACCTAGATTATCAGAGAGCCTTGATCACTGAAGAAACAACAAATGGTAAGTGTGGCTGGTATGCAAAGAGAGAAGCAGGGAAGGACCAGGTATGTTCAGGGAGGCCAGCATGGGTGGGACCTCGACGGGTAGTTCAAGGATATGTTCTTTACCCCAACTTACATAAAAAACCAATGAAGTATTAGTGAACAATTTGAAAATGGTGATAGCATGTTCAGAATTTTCATTAGAGCATTACAGAATAACAGGTTAATGAGCATCCATTCAGAATATAAAATTGATTTACTTTCTTGCAATATTTACATTTCATATTTAAGTAGTGACATGTAACTTTCTTAATAGTAAAAGTGTTTATTAAAGAAATAAAATCACCTACACTTGGATCATGGATGGTGATATGGTTTGGATTTGTTGTTCCACCCAAATCTCATGTTGAATTCCAATTCCCAGTGTTAGAGGAGGGGCCTGGTGTGTGGTGATTTGTTCATAGGGGTGGACTTCCGCCTCTTTGTTCTCATGATAGTGAATTCTCGTGATATCTGGTTGTTTAAAAGTATGTAGCACCTCCCCACTTCTGTGTCTTCCTCCTTCTCTGGACATGTACAACATGCATGCTTCCACTTCACCTTCCCCCATGATTGTAAGTTTCCTGAGGCCTCCCCAACTATGCTTCCTGTACAGCCTGTGCAACTGTGAGTTCATTAAACCTTTTCTCTTTATAAATTACCCAGTCTCTGATAGTTCTTTATAGCAATGCAAGAACAGACTAACACAACAGGTAAATTATATGAAGAAGGGGCTCAAATGCTCATAGTCCCTACCCCTGCTACACTGCCTTCAGCAACAATCTCATGGGGAGTTTCTTATAATCAACTGACACTAGAAGAGAAGACTCAGACCTGGATACAGATGGTTGTGCAACATATTCTGGCACTGCACAACATTTTGATGGCTACCATACTACAGCTCCTTTCTGGAACTTTTCTGAAGGACAGTGGTGAAGGGAAATCATCCCAGTTAGAAAAATCCTAAATGATGTACTTGGTTGTTCCAATTTGCTTAACACGAGAAATGAATCAATGTGTGATTATGTATCTGTGGGCTAGATACATGATTAGTGATAATGATTAAGCTGGATGATCAGGGACTTGGAAGGAGCATAATTGGAAAACTGGTGACAGGATATTTGAGGCAAGGTGCTTGGAGAGATGTCTCTATCCGGGTATAAATTATGTAGATATCTGCTATGGTTTGAATGTTTCCCCTTCAAAATTCAGGTGTTGTGAAACAATGGCAAGTGTGATAGCATTAAGTGGTGGGGCCTTCAGTAGGTGCTTAGGTCATAGGGGCTTCTTTCCTTGTTTATGGGCTTAAAGCCCTTATTAAAAAAGGTTTCACACAGCCTTAAGTTTGCTTGCTCTTCTGCCTTTCACCAAGTGAGAATACAATGTTCCTCTCCTCCAGAAGAGCTTTCAAGGCACCATCTTGGAAGCAGGGACAGGACCCCTGTATTTGTATTTTTAGAAGAAACGGGGTTTTACCATGTTGGACAGGCTGGTCTCGAACTCCTGGCTTCAATTGATCTGTCCACTTCAGCCTCCAAATTTGCTGGTATTAAAGGCACAAGCCACTGCACCCAGACAGAGTCTAAGCGTTTTTAAAGACAGTTTTTCAGGCAGGAGGCTAGGAAATGGGGAATGCTGATTTGTTGGTTTGGGGATAAATGTGTATGAGTCAAAGCTGTCCTCTTGCAGTAAACCAGTTTCTGGAAAAGAGCTACAAGACCAGGCAAGCAAGATTAGCAGTCTGGGTGCTGCCAGGTGTTTCATCAGAATACAAGGTCTAAAACTCTTCAGTTTTACAATAATAATGTTATCTACAGAAGTAATTAGGGAGGTTAGGAACCTTGTGGCCTCTGGCTGCATGACTCTGGAGCCATAATATCTAATCTTGTGGCCTGGACCCCAAGCAAGGAGGAAGTTTGCTTTGACAAGGGGCTCTTACCATCTTTGTTTCAAAGTCAAACATTATAAACTAAATATTTCCCAAATGTAGTTTGGCCTACACCCAAGAATGAAGAAAGTCAGCATGGAGTTTAGAAGTACTGTCTAATTTCCCTATTTCAGATTCAGTGACAAAATATTCCTGTGTGAGATTTGTCTCATTTTCATAATGTTATGAAATGTTTTATCATTTTCATTTCATTATGTTCTCTATATTATCCTCCACCTCATAACTC